TGAGGATGGGCAGGGCCTGGCCGGGTGAGGGGATGCTGACATGACAGGTCCTGAGTTTTCTTCTAGGGCTGCTCCTGGGCCAGGCTCTTACAGGCTCTCCCCAGCCAAAGTCCAGGCCTGCCCTTCTCCAGACCCCTGCCCTTTATCTGGGTCCACGTCCCCTGTGGGAAGGGGGAGCTCCCAAGAAGCACAATTCAGGGACTTGACCCTCACACCTGGGCCGATGGCCTGGGCAGAGGCCGGGACGGGAACCACGAGAGTCACAGAAATAGTTTTCCTAGGAGAGGTCCAGTGCTGGCCTCCCTCCCAGGGTCCAGATCACCGCCTTCCTGGCTCCTCTTGCCCTGCCCCCTCGGCCTCCCCTGGCCCCGTGCGCCTTCATTGCTGTTCGGATTAAAGCCTCTGTTTTGCACCTGTCACCTGTGTGAGGTGTGTCTTTCCATGCCACACGTTTATTGTTTCTCCACATGCCTGTTTGTCTCCCCATCGGGTCCCCTTCCCTCGGGCCATGGAGTCTGGGGCTGGGACTGTTTCAGCTGGTGTCTGGGCTAAGCTTTTCCTGGGCAGCCAGTGAACGTGCACCGGTCACCCAAGCAGGCTCTGGCGACTCCTGGCTGTCCCCACCCCCAGCTGCAAGGTCTTGTGTAAGTTATTGAATCTCTCTGAGCCTCAGTTTCCTCGTCTGCAAAATGGGGACCATCACAGCGTGATTGCCAGGAGTGAGTGAAGGATGTGAAGTCCTCCGCCCAGGGCCTGGCACAGAGCAAATGCCCTCGGTCACCATGGCCCTTCTAGATGAAGGCAGCCCCTGTGGACTCCAGGCTTGACGGGGGAGCCTTTGGACCGGACTTGGTTGCAACCCACGCACCGGCAGCTTTTAGGGATGCACCCCACCCCTTCTGTCCGTGTCGTGCTGGAGTTGGGATTTGGGGGGCTGCAGTACTCGAGGCTTCTTGGACCCTTCCTCGGACATACGTGTTTCCGGACTTGGTGTATAGATGAGTCTCCTCAGAGAATGAGCCCTTGGCCTTTCTCCTGGCCTTGGAGGCCTTGCCCAGGAGAGCCTGGTGGCCGGGAGCCAACCCCAGCCAACCTAAGGCCCGCTGCGCTGCTTACTAGCTGAGCGGCCCTCGTGATTGACTTTGTGTCTGAGCCTGGTTTCCTAATCTGAAGTATGGGCATAATGATACTCAGGCCAGGGATTGTGAGGACCCAGTCATTTCACAAGTGGTTACTGGCCGAATATTCCTTGTTCTAGCGTGGATGACGGCGGCCAACCCCAGAATACCAGAACGTTAGGTAGTGGTGGGTGTTACGAAGCGAATAGCACAGTTCATTAGAGAGGGCGGCAGGCGCGGTTTACTTGAGCTACAGGGTTGGGAAGGGCACCTCGGAGGAGGCGCGAGTCTGAGTCCTGGAGAGAGCTGCAGGCTGAAGGGCGGGGGAGCAGCTGGGAGCCCAGCGCCCCAGTAGGGTTGGGGAGGGTACACACGTGGGTCAGGGAGGAGCAGGGTCTTAGGGGCTCCTCTCTGACAGGATTGGGATTTAGTGTCTGCGTATCCTCCGGGAAGCTGCTGGAGGGCTTTGCCAGTGCCAATGGCCTGGAGTATGTGGGGCAGGAGGGGAGGCGCTAGGACGGTGGGCCGCGTGGAGGTGGTGAGAAATGGTGGTCCCATTTGGGCTGTCTTTAGAGCTATCACCGACAGGAAGGAGGGTGTGAGAAGGACAAGAAGCCTTGAGCAGCCCCAATTCTCGGCCTGTGTAGCTTGATGCCATTTACTGAGGCGGGGGAGATGTGGCAAGAGGGCTTTGGTGTTGGGGGCCCGGCGGATGCCTGTTAGCCTCGAAGGGGAGGCCTGGAGTAGGCATCTGGGTCTGCTGATCTAGAGCTGGGGGCGGGTCCAGCTGCTGAAATAGGCTAGGGAGTGGTCAGCACGCAATGGATCCCCCGCCCCGGGTCACCAAGGCAGGAGTGGGGGTGAAGGTGAGAAAAGAGGGCTGGCTGGTTCTGGGCATGGGGGGGTGGGAGACCCTGAAGGTCAGAGCCCTGGGCACGCGGCTGAGAGGACAGAATGGGCCCTGGGTCTTTGTGCCTCGCTCAGGGCTGCTTCAGTGGGGTGGGTGGCGGGTCGAAGAGGGCTGGGGAGGGAATGGGAATCAGACGAGC